CCGAGAAGAAGGTTCTCTGATGATGGCGGCTGCGACAGGAGAGATGAGACGATATGGCCTGCAACACGCTGTATCACGGTTGCAAAGTTTCCGGCTTCTTTTCCAATACCCATACTAAACGACATGTCCGATAAGGGACAAAAAGAGGCAGAGTCGCGATGCAGTTGGAGACGGTGGGCAGTGGGTTTCTATGTCTTGCATAACCGAAGGCTACTAATTTTCGACCTCGGCACGTAGTGCGAAGCCGTCGCTCGGTCGCGGCAGCTGGTGCAAACCACGGCGGCCGGCAGCATGGAAATAGCCATGGCATTGGTAAGAAACAGGAAAAGCGTACTTTTATATGGACTTAGGTAAGGATGGGCCCATATCGGGCCTATATCTTTACATCGGCGAAGGGTTCATGGCTAGTCTCGGCCAGTTCTCGCCCGGCACGCGCAGGTCTTGTCTCAGGCGGCAGGTTCTTTGGCTGTTGTGTCTCGCTACTGCTGAAGAATCGAACCGCTTAATGAGCGTATTTGTCTACTAGCCCACCAGACTGACCCAACCTGCTGTGGATAACGTCTGTGGGCGAGTTCCTCAGCCTCGACTACCAAAGTCCGAAGACTTCCTGTTTGACTTGGTCTGGGTAAGGTCCATAGCAGCCTACCTACTACCTCAGCACAGTCAGTGGGGCAGGCTGATGTCTTGACTTCATAGGCTACGGATCCCTAGGTACGGATACCAGACCATCTATTTGACTACGGATACCCAGTTGCAAAAGGATAGTTCCGTTTCATCTCGTCTCGTCTATCCGTAGGCGGGCTGTCAAAACCAAATAAGCTGTCACATCTGACGGGTGGTGGAGAGCTGATCTTTACTATCTTGATCCGGCGACAACCGGGCGAGACATGGACGCTGTTGATAGCCGGTGAGCAGGTGGAGCAGGGAGGCGAGGTCTGTGGGGGACTGTTCGGATTTGACATCCCGTTCAGTATCAAGAAAAGCAGCAAGCAGCAAGCGAGAGGCAGAGGAAGGGACAAGAAGCCAAAAGGAAAGAGGACAAAACCAAAGAGGTTTGGGCTGTTAATCCTGGCTCGCCACGTTTTCTGCAAAGGCACGTCGCACGTCGCACGTCGTACGCCGCATATTCCTTCTCTATGCCTGCAGTATCCGTACAACAGCGGATAATTCCTCAGGGCTTGTTTGCTCTGGGCAGTGGCCCGCAAAGCCGATGACGAAGGCTTGGTGAAGTTCTGGACAAGGCTCAGTCCGAGAGCCCAGAGGACTCAGGCTCCGGGTTCCAAACTCACAAGCACGAAATCCCGGTTTGGCTTCGTGTCGTTGGCAGCACCGGCCAACAGGTGCTCCCTTCGCGATAAGCGTCGTTGTTGGTGTGCAACGGACCGACTGGGCAGGAAGAGTTGGGCCGGCATATGGGGTTGACAGGCCGCGTTCGTGAGACAGTCCGCGAAGGAAGGGATACCGACAGACGGTCTGGGAATCTCTGGGCTGTCAATCGTCCAGGTCGGATTGCTAACCGTTCAACCCAGAGCCATGGAAACATGGCATTTGTGTGCGCCCGGATAATGGATCGATCCATGACTCTGGTTGACATTATTACTGTTGACAACGTCGAATACGACGTACGTGCTGGGCCTGGCAGGGCAATTAAAGGCAAGGTCACGAATGTATTGCGCTGGTATTCAGACACTGATGTGGGCAGAGTCAGGAACCTGACTGGCGCACTGACATGAACCGGATCGAAGTGCGTCTGGTGATGGTGAGAGAGATTGAGGAAATCTCGATGCTCCATTCAAAGTGCCATCTGGTGGGCTTTAGCCAATGAGCCAATAGGCCTCACCGTGAGTTGTCCGTGATGCACTGGAAAATTGGAGCCCCGAATTTTCAAAACGAGGCCACCCCCGGAGCCACAAAAATTTTCTTGCAGCGCCTTTTTTTTTTTTTTTTTTCGCTCACCTTGCCCGCACCAGCGCTTGTTGACGGCGGGGAGCGCGCGCTTCCATGGTTACTGGTACAGATTCTCTCTGCAGGCCCAGCACACACCGCACATCGGCAGGCCAACCACACAACACCTCTTTCTCTCACGACGTCAACGCACATTTTGATATCGGACAATCTCAACTTTTCCATCCTGGCTTTTCTTCGTCATATAACACCCCTCCCTTCTCAACTACTGCGCCTGCACCAGCATCATCTGCCTCGATTGCTTGTGCCTCTGCCGACCTGTCGATATCTACACAATCTACACAGTAGCCCTGCCAAACCCCCGTCTACCGTCAAAATGAGCGAAATTGCCCATCCTACCATCCAAGGTTCGTGCGGTCCAATCCCCGTCTTTCCATCCATCCATCCCTCCCCTCTCTTACTCAAACAGATCTCTGTCTGTTGTTGTTGTTGTTGTTGTTGTTGTTGTTGTGTGTTTGTCTGTTTGTCTGTCTGCCTTTCTGTCTGCGGCTGCCCGGCATCCGTCTGCTATCGTTGGCATTGGGTGTATGCTACTTATTACTCTGTCCTGCTGGTCGATGCTCGTTACTGGCTCTTCCGACCTCTGTACGCACCCGTCTCAGAATACCCCGCCATACAAAAAATGTCTTGAGCACCCCGCCTGTCGTCACCTTGGGGCCCTTGGGAACCTTGGGGGGGTTTCTTCGCTAAGAGCCCACGCAACGGAAGACGGAGAATATCGCAACCGGGAAGCGGGCCCCCATGAGGCCTTGAGAGCCCACGCAACGGAAGACGGAGAATATCGCAACCGGGAAGCGGGCCCCCATGAGCGGCCTTGTCTCGTTCGTCCATACCGCCCTTCATTGGCTCAACTGGCAGACGGATTTTGTGCCGTGCGGACTGCCTGCACCTGGTCAATCGCCAACGAAACCTCCCGCAACTATTGACGGGTGGCTTATCCGTCCTCTTCCGGGTCCCCTAAAAACACCTTCAGCCCTGGCTCCTCCACCGTCTGAGCGCGCATGCACTATTCTTCATGCCACTTTCGGTTAAGCAATTCGTCAGGAGAAACCGAGAAACCTCGCCTCTTGGTTTTGCAGATCGTTTGTCGAATATGGCATACCTCTCTTGCTGAGGTGACATTTGTACATTGCAAATATGCCGGCTTATGGCTGCTCCGGGCACGGCACTTTTCGGGATCGGCAATGACACAGAACACACAGACAGACTGACTGACAAGAGTGGATGCGACAAGATGATGCCCTTTTTTGGAAACAAATGAGATGAACGAGTCGAGACCGCGCGCTAACCTGATGAAATGATGTACAGATGGCTGGTTCCGTGAGATCTCCAACATGTGGCCCGGTAAGTCACCCACACCCTCAACTCAAGCATCGTGACATCGTGAGAATGAGAGGACGCCGGGCAATGCTGACAACCTGCCACAGGCCAGGCCATGACCCTCAAGGTCAAGAAGGTCATTCACCACGAGAAGTCCCAGTACCAGGATGTCCTCATCTTCGAGTCCACCGACTACGGCATGGTCCTGGTCCTGGACAATGTCATCCAGGCCACCGAGCGTGACGAGTTCTCCTACCAGGAAATGATTACCCACCTGGCCATGAACTCCCACCCCAACCCCAAGAAGGTCCTCGTCATCGGCGGCGGCGACGGCGGTGTCCTCCGCGAGGTCGTCAAGCACGAGTGCGTCGAGGAGGCCATCCTCTGCGACATTGACGAGGCCGTCATCCGCCTCTCCAAGCAGTACCTCCCCAACATGGCCGTCGGCTTCGACCACCCCAAGTCCAAGACCCACGTCGGCGACGGCTTCAAGTTCCTCGAGGAGTACAAGAACACCTTTGACGTTATCATCACCGACTCCTCCGACCCCGAGGGCCCCGCCGAGTCCCTCTTCCAGAAGCCCTACTTCCAGCTCCTCCACGACGCCCTGAGGGAGGGCGGTGTCATCACTACCCAAGGTTGTACGTTCCCATTTGTTCAGGAATATCGAGGGGAATCAAGGAAGTCTCGGGTCTCTGAAGAAAAGACAAGACAACGCCGCAGACACCACTACTACCTGGGAGTGGTGCCTGCTTCTTTATCTTTCTTTGGGCCTGTCCTCGATTCTCCCTAGATACCGATATATTGCCCAGTGGCATGTTTGTGTGAACCTGGATACGCTTTGAACTCTCCTTTGTCTATTCTTTCAAAGTGTTGCGCCTACTCGAGACTGTTATTCTCCTTCCTCCCCCTTTTCTGTCGGCGCTCATCCAGCCTGACTCTCTGTCAGAAGGCGCTTCTGATTCTTGACGACTCTACTGTTAAATCTAGAGACCAGGACGTGCTAACAGCATACACCAAACAGCCGAGAACCAGTGGCTCCACATGCCCCTCATCTCCAAGCTCAAGAAGGACTGCAAGGAGATCTTCCCCGTCGCCGAGTACGCCTACACCACCATCCCCACCTACCCCAGCGGCCAGATCGGCTTCATGGTCTGCACCAAGGACGCCGGCCGCAACGTCAAGGAGCCCCTCCGCAAGTGGTCCGCCGAGGAGGAGGAGAAGCTGTGCAAGTACTACAACGCCGACATCCACAAGGCCGCGTTCGTCCTGCCCAACTTTGCCAAGAAGGCTCTCGAGTAAATGCAGTGCTCGTGAGGTTGGTGCAAAGTACGAAAAGACACGGATTCATGAACTCATGGAGGGGTGCGGAGGCTCGGGATAGGAAGGATGGGGAGAACGTCTGGCGGGAATGTCAATAGATGGGAACCCAAAAGAAAAAAAAGTTTTTAGTCGTAAGACGCAGAGGTTGACTCTAGCGTCGCTCAATATATTTTGTTGAGTCCAGTATGTTCTGCCCTGTGATCAACATCACAAGTGATTCTATGTTGAGATAACTCCGTGTCCCTTCCGTCGGGTACCCTGTTGTCGCCAACTCCGTGTAAATCTTTTTGCTCCTTTTCTCATCCAATGCTATGAGTAACCCGCATCTTGTCTTCCTCTCTCTCTCTTCTCTCTCTCTCTCTCTCTCTCTCTCTCTCTCTCTCTCTCTCTCTCTCTCTCTCTCTCTCTCTCTCTCATCCGTAGACGATTTCCGTTACTCTCTTTTGATCCCATGAGACTCCCGCCCCAACTCATCACTTCCCTTCTTTCACCCTCTCACCACCCTCTTCATCCCATCTTCTGATCTTCATCCTCATCTTCAACTCCCTCTTCATCCTACCTTCAACTCACTCCTCATCCTATCTTCACTCTATATCTCCATCTTCACCCCCTACCAATTACATCCTCCTGCAAGCAACCCAGCAAGCCTCTCCAACCAAACCCGATCAACCTCATCGAACCCATCCCTCTCCGCGCAATCCACGTCGATAATCGCCACCAGCTTCTCTTCCCCCTCCTTGTCCTTGATAACGATGGGCACCACGACCTCGCTCTTGCTATCCCCGTCACACGCAATGTGCCCCGGGAAGGCGTCGACGTCGGCCACGAGCTGGGTCTGGCGCGTGGCGGCGGCGGCGCCGCAGACGCCGCGGCCAAAGGGGATTTGTTGGCAGGCGACTTTGCCCATGAAGGGGCCTAGGATGAGGATTGCTTGGTGGTGGTGGAAGAAGAAGAAGAGGAGGCTGGGTCGAGGACAGAAACCTGCCCAGTTTACTGCGTTTGAGGGGGCGGGCAGGGAGTGGTATGCGTGCCAGAGGAGGGAGGCTGTGTTTGCGAGGTTGCTGTACAGGTTGAGAAAGGAGGAAGTTAGTTTCTTGGTTTCTTTTCTCTCAAGTTTTTATTTCATCTTGTCCTTCCGTCTCTCCGAGATTGTGGAGAGACTAGTTGATATCGGAAATCTTTTGACTTACGCGACCTGTGAGTGTTAGTCTGAGTAGATGAGATGAGAGAGAAGAATGCAGGATGTGACTTCTCTAGTATCTAGGATACAAGAATGCAAGACGTACCCAGTTCCTTTGACCGTCGAGGAGACCTTCGGCTTGCATGAGGACCTGCTCGTAAGCCTCCTCCTTTGTCACGCCATTGGCGAAGTTTGAGGCGTCGGCGTGGACCTGTCGTTTTCACTCTGGTCAGTATACACCGACAGAGTAAGGTAAGGTAGGGCTTAGTAGATTTTGGTAGTGCGCTCAAGGATATGAGATGTGCTCACCATTATTGCCGGAAGATCTACAGTATTGAGTACAAATGAGAGTGTGGGGATAAGCCAAGCTCAAAGCTATCTTCCCTGGGTAAAGTAGGTAAGAAAGTCGAGGCTAGGTTGGTGAGTCAATATGACCAAGCATAGACGGGTTGTTGAGTTGAGACGGGAAATTGTGTGTTGAAATCCTCTGGTCCAATCACGTCATCGCGTTCCCGGTGAGCTACACCTCGGTGAGCCCAGTTCCCTCCCTTCGGGCCCGAGTTTTGTCAGCAACCCAAGAAAAAAAAAAAGTGTTACATTTCCACCGCCCCGGCCCTAAACGTCTTTGATGGAGAAGACGGAGGAACCGGGGGCCATCGGCCGGCTTTGAGTGGAGAAAGTCTGCCTATTCACATTTGACGGGTTCCGAGATGTTTTTTATGTCCGATCCCGATTTCAAAGTGCTTTCTTTCCCGCTCACAAACCGAGGGTGCCGACTCACGATACCTACCTAGCTAAGAGGGTGGGAGACGTGAGGGTAGCACAGCACCACGCTAAGATGCTTGTGTAGGGCGTGAAAGCTATATGGTTGGCGCAGGCCGGCTGCGCGGGCGGGCGGCGGGATATCTAGGTACAGATCGATCGACATGCGTGCGCGAGAGAAACGTGATGTCGAAGCGAGCCGAGGAGCAGCCATTCCCGATTGACAACTGCGATTTGTTCTCAGAGTACGAACGTCCCCTACAAGCCTAGTAGACTGTAGTATCCAAGTTCGCTGAGGTAGGAATCCAGGTCGGAGGTCGGATTCGGATGAAACTCCGTCCATGACTTCATTCTCCGCTAACCCCGCGTGCCCGCTGGTGTGACAGCTCCCTTTTGCGAGGTCAGTTTAGCTGAGCTGAGGTTAGCTCTGCAGGAGCTTGAGGTGTTTAGGACCTGAGGTAGTCTCTATAGAGTATAGAGATAACGTCTTTCCCGCCTTGGCCTCTACTCTTCCTTTCACTGAGTCAAACATTGCGGGCATCTTCGTTTTTCGGACATTTGGTCAACTTGTAATTGACCTCCGGCCTATAGTAGAAGCTGTCGCATCAAGGGAGAGCTCAAACCTACCCAATAGCTCACCCCGTCCATAAGGCAACTTTCCCCCGAATAACCAACAACTTCACCCTTTCACCCTCCACCAATTAAGCAGCACATCCCACTTACTACATCGACACAATGTCGTCGGAACCGCAACAACACCAGGCCCCCCGCTTCTGCGCCGACTGCTTCAAGGGCACGCTCCGCGGCGACACCGAGCTCAAGGGCACCGTCGAGACCGTCTACGGCCTGCCGACGTACGTCGCGCGCCCGGAGCCGGGCCGCGGCGAGCCCGCGGGCGTCGTCGTGATCTTGCCAGACGCGATGGGGTGGGAGCTGCAGAATACGCGCGCGCTGGCGGATGCGTATGCGAATAGGATTCCGGCGGTGGTACTGCTTCCTGAGTTAATGAATGGTGAGTTTTTTTGAGAAGTTTCATTCTTCTTTTGTTGGCTTTGGTATGCGGGATTGCTTTGGACTTCTACGTTGTAACCTCTCGTCCTCGGCATGACTGTTTTGGTGATCGATGTGATGTCCCGGGCAAGCAGGCAGACAAGGAAGGGATTGAGACATCATAGTGCTCCAGGACGCGGCATCGTGAACTCACATGAGACACCCCCCCTAACCCACAACGTTACGAAAGCTACTGACACAATGTGTAACAAAAAAGGCTACGCCATCCCAGCGACCGCGCTCGCCATGACCGACAAAATGGAGGCCGAAAAGTCGTGGTGGAGAAAATACCTCCTTATCGCGCCCGTCATGGTCGCGACGATGCTGCGCTACTTCATCCCCCTCGTCATCGCCACCCGCTCCAGCGTCGTCGTCCCGCGCATAGAGAACTACCTCCGTGCAGTCCGCCTCTCGCCGCCGTCTCCCCTCCCTCCCCGTCCATCTACCTCAACGTCCTCCTCCTCGTCCGGTGAGACATCCGCCAAGAAAGACACCAAGATCGGCGTCGCGGGCTTCTGCTGGGGCGGAAAATTCACCGTCCTGCTCTCACAGCTCGCCGCGGGACCGTTTGGCGGTGAGAGGCTCATCGACTGCGGCTTCACGGCGCATCCGAGCTTCCTCACGTTGCCGGGCGACCTGGAGAAGGTGGTGCTGCCGCTGAGCGTGGCGAACGGGGACGACGATATGATGATGCCGCGGGCGCGGATGGCGGAGGCCAAGAGCGTGCTGGGGAAGAAGGGGGAGGACTTTGAGATTGTGGAGTACGTCGGTGCCACGCACGGGTTTGCTGTGAGGAACCCGAATGATCAGCGGCAGGCGGAGTTCGGGATGAGGGCGGAGGATCAGGCTGTTGGGTGGTTTCGGCGGTGGTTTGGGCTTGGTGCTTGAGTCGATGAGTGAGGGACGGGATGGGATGGGTTGGAATGGGACCAGGAATGGTTGATCGAGATTGGTTTGACGCGGGTCACCTTTCCATCACACTTCTAATGTAGCTACAGGTCTTCTGTCTTTCACTTTATGTACGCACAGGCTGAAAGCGAGTATACTAGGTTCCGGTGATGATAGGACTCAGATCGAATTTGAGCTTGCTGATGTTGCGAGGCTCACAACCTCCCCTTGATATCCTCCATATGTGAGACTAAAAACGTTGGCGGGCACGAGAAGCTCAAGTAACTACAAGCTAGTTTCAAAGTCAACCAAAGATATTTGAATAAAATTCAAGCTAAACGATAACTGATATTACATATCAAATAGCCACAAAGCACGACTCAAAACATGCCCACACAACTCAACATCGCTTAAAAGCAGAACTAAAACATCGTCAACAGCCAAAAAGGCAAAAAGATTTGGTTCTCCCCTTCCAGAATCGAACTAGAGACCTTTCGATGACAAGAGATGAACAATTACAGTCGAACGTGATGAACCAACTACACCAAGGGGAGTGACCAAGGCTGAGCCTTGCTCGGTGTGGAAGGCCTGCGCGAAAAAATGCCTCAAGAAGTGTTTGCGTTGACCCACAGATTGATCCGCAATTCTAGGGTTGTGATTTCGGCTCTTTGCAGACAGTCCATTTTAGGTCAGCGACCTAACCGGGCACGTACGGATTTGTCTACGCGAATACAGTATGATTGCCATAAAGAGACAATTATGACTTTTCATATGCGACAACCCAGAGTAACGATTCTGGTGGTTCTGTGAACATCTGTTTTCAAGCTCGATAGCTCAGTGACATAGCAGACTCGCGGCACGAGGGACTCTTCGATTGGCCTGGCTGATTCGAGGTAGACAATTAGGTCCCAATGCCGGAAAGAAGCTTTCGGTTGTAGCACGTGGAAATGTTCGAAGACCATACTCAAAGAGATTGATGATCACCCCAACAATCGAGCTCGATTGTCCAATAGCCAGAACTGAATAGTCACGCCAAGGAAACGGCAAAGCTTGATTCGGCGAGAGCGGCCGCTCCCGGACCCGACGCGGTGGGTGGAGTTGCGGGTGGGGCCGAGGCAAGGTAAGCACTCCGATAAGCGATAAGCTTGTAGGTGTAATGAGTGACGAAACCAATTGCCCATTTTTCTTTAATTAAATTCGATATTTTGGCCATGCCCTTTGGCGTCCCGCGCGACCCGGTCCGAACCCCCTTCACGAACCTCAAACCCGCAACCTTCAACCCTGAAGTTTCCTAATAACCACAACTTTTCTCACGTCTCATGCAATGAACCACGGCACGACGCTGCGCGCCATGCGCGCTCCGTCCTCTCTCTGCAGCAGCAGTAGCAGCTCCGTCCACACATCCTTCCTCCTCACCACCTCGATCGCGCGACAAGCCCCTACCGTCGGCTGCGGCTCCCTCCGCCCTCCGAACCCTCCTACTCCTCCACCGCGAACAGAGACAAGGTCAACGCCATCGCCTCCTCCCGCCCAGCGGCCCTCGACCTCCCCGAGAAGAAACCCGACGCCTCAAAGTTTGGCCACCTCATCCAGACGGGCAAGGCCTACATCAAGTTCTACAAGACGGGCCTCAAAGCCGTCTTCTCCAACCGCCACATCCAAGACGTCATCCGCGCAAAGAGCACCTCGGTTGAAGGCTTCCGCGCCCCCTCCGTCTTCACGCCGGGCGTCATCCCCAAGGGCTTCTCGCGCGCCGACTGGGTGCTCCTCTGGCGCGTGCGCCACGACGTCCTCCGCGTGCCCCTGTTCGGCCTCGTCCTCTTGGTGTGTGGGGAATTCACCCCGCTCATCGTCATCTTCGTCGACGGCGTCGTGCCGTACACGTGTCGCCTGCCGCGGCAGATCGACGCCAGCTTCTCGCAGGCTGAGGAGCGCCGGCACAAGTCGTTTGCCGACTTTGAGCGGGCTGCGCCGCTGGGCGTCGCGGGCACGCAGGGGACGGCCGCGAGGGCGCCGGCGAGCATGTGCTGCAGTCTGCATATGCCCGGTATGATGTGGGATAAGATTGGTTTTATCCCGCCGGGTATGTGGGCGACCAAGGGCAAGCTGCGGATGGCTTTCCTGGAAGGCGATGACAGGTTGCTGGCGCGCGATGGGGGCGCGGCCGCGTTGGAGGAGCAGGAGGTGAAGATTGCGGCTACGGAGCGCGGTATCGACTGCGCCGGTCGCGGGGATGAGGAGCTGAGGAAGTTGCTCGATGAGTGGCTGCGCCTGACGGAGGCTGAGGAGAGTGCGGAGAGGAGGAAGCGCATGACGGTTCTCTTGACGACAAGGTATGGATCTTTTCATTCAAACAATGCTCAAATCGTACAATTGCTAACTTTCTTCACTTCTGCAGGACGGAGAATTGGCCAAAGGACCGAGACGAGACTTTGCTCTCCCGAGTGGCATCTTTGAGTCGAATCACACACAGCGGACTTGTATAGTACCTCGCCTGGCAGACAGCACCAATGTCGTCGATAATTCTTTGTCAGAGGCTGCATTGCGGCAAGCGCCGGATTGTATACTACTACTGTATTTTACTGCGGCATAAGTAGAAGGATGGGCACTCAAAAGCATATGACGGGGCTCGGGGGTCACAAAAAGAAGGGTGGAGGTAGGGTTGCGGATAGACAAACCACTCTGTTCCAGACAGCAAGTAACAAATGTCAACAATTTTCTTTTAGACAACAACTTTGCGGACAATAGTCTCTGCATGTTCAGTGTGTCAACGTATTCCTGCAGGAATTCTGGATAAGGGGATATCCGATACGCGGCTAACCAGTGATCTATATGCCCGGCTCGTTGGCCCAACCTCCAAGGAGATACAAATACTAAGACTTGCCTCGCTGGTCCTCAGCGGTCAAGGGTGCACTTCCCGCCGTCCCTTTTCAGACAGTCGCGTCTCAATGCCTCGTCTCTCTGCGTTGCGTCGAAGTCGACTGCACTGGCGTTCGCCCATACCGTCTAGCCTGGACCTCATCAAAGGACGGTTTTCTTGGCCGCTTAGAACTACAGGCCAATGATTCCGTGGTGAATACTATACTACCCCCAACCAGTAGAACAAGACGCCCAAGATGCTCCCGAGAACTTGGATCAAGGATGAATACCGTTGTTGTGCGCTTTCGAGATCATGCGCAATTATGTCGAGGCTCGCTACAAATAGGCCCCGGAATTGAAGCCAATGAGACTATATAGCTCTGAAGGATTTTGGGTAGTATGATGTCTGGTGGTCTGACGTGTGAAGCGCAAGTCCGCGACGGATGCGCAAGAATATAGGCTTTCTGCTATTTCGTTTCTGCGAACCCCAAGATAATGGCCAGGTTCGTGGAAAGGAAACTACCATACTGTCACGCGAGCAAGAAACAAACAAGACAAATAGCTGGACCTATTGCCAAAAGTCAACCGTTGAAGTACAATATCGCAGAGATGTACCCAGTTATCAAGTTGCGTTCGACATGGAGAGTAAGGTCCAACGTTTAGCTAAAGGGTTATTGATTAGCTTTGACTCTTGAAGTTCGGAAATTACCAATTTCCCATAAATCCCATGTAAAATCATGCTGTGTTGATAAATCAAGTTGATTCAAGTATAGCTACGCAAATTTGAAGTCAGAGTAAATACATGATTACACCCTCGCTTCCGGCCCAGAAACTATCCCAACCGACACCACGGGACTATAATTGCCCGAGAATCTGCGATGCGGATGCTGTAGACATAAATAGATAGGACGAACGATGACCTCGCAGAAGCCTCCGCATGGGTGTGAGGCATATTTCAACGTTGATCAAAAGTGGAAGGTAAGTTCGTTCTTTCACGGGCTGCTTCCATGTCCCAAGATCAGTCCAAAAGCCGTAGGTGTTGTCAACTGACTGATCACTCAAGGTAAGGTAGCCGAGAGACATCCAGAAGCCATGATCACAAGTCAGGCAACTGTCACAAGTCAGCGCAAACGAGCGAACAACTCTAATTGGATCAAAGTATGCACGAAATTCAATATTGTAACCTCATGAAAATCCCCCTCACGTGGTTCAAGTTCCCTCCAAGTCATCAGTCGTTTCCCGCACGATTTGACGAACCCATCTAACCCGCCAAGACCTCTCCAAGGAGGTCAAAAAAGCTCTCAACTAAGCTTTCCCTCCCTCCCCATAATCATTTCTTAAAATAGACTTCTACCTTGTGCCTTTGTCGGACTAGGCAAGTAATCAAGAATCATTACCGCCTTTCTCTTCTCGCCCTCACTCTTCTTCCTCAGCTTCTGGCCCTGCTCGTCGGCAGTCTTGCAAAAGAGACGTTGATCGAAAAGGAACCAAACCCCTGTCAACGAAATTCTGGTGCCTAGAGCCTAACTGCAAAAGAAGCAACCTAAACCCGCAAAGCTAGTATGCCCGTACCCGCTCCGAATTGGCTATCAGACCTGCATGTAATAGGCTAGTGAGACTACCGCAGTAAAACTAGCTCAGTAATACTAGTCAGGGGGGGATGTTTGAAAAGAAGTCGGGTCTTGATTCACCAAGCATCTCACATCAGCCCCAAAATTCTTAGTTTTCTGGTGCGCTTCTTCTTTCAATGGGACGAACCCCATCTCGCACCCGTGTGTGTGAGGTGGGGCCGTCGCAGCCACGATCTGGGCTGCTGGGCATATCCGCGCGAGGAGTGTGAGTGTGACTGGCTCCAGCACATTAAGCTACCCGCCTCCCTTGCTGCAGATTTGCGGTAATGAGCGTGGTTTGGGCGATTATTCATACACATGCAGGAAAGAAATAAGAACTACGGATACATGGCACAGGTGGTGGTTCGCGTGCGTGTGCGACTCGGACAGAAATCTCAGGATACGGAATTTGGCACGGAATAGTTTGATGACGATGAGCGGCACCAGCGCAGCCGTAGAAATCCTGTAGGGTGGGCGCGCGATCCTAAATCGCCTCTTTAAAGACTCGGCCATGTCCCTACCACTGAAAACTCAATGACCCGAAAAGACAGAGGCACCGTCTACTCACTCCTTCGAGGACCTTTGCCCTCTCTCACAAAGGACGAAGCTTCTCTGGATCACATCGCATCATGAAGCTGCTGCTTCCCCTCCTCGCCCTCCTGGGCATCGGGGCCGCCCACCCGCACCAGCAGCACCCCCACGATGCCGTCGCCGCCGCCGCCGTCCTGGACTCGAGACAACAGACGTGTTCCGGCCCCGTGGAGAGTAACCCCTCCATCTGGTGGCGCGCCGCCATCGGCCACAACGGCACGGCGCCGACGAGCACGGACTCGACGTACCAGTACTACCGGACGGCGGTCCAGTACGGCGCCGATAACACGGGCGTCCAGGACTCGTCTGATGCCTTTAACTTTGCCATTGAAGGTGTGTATATATATATATATATATATACCTTGCCTTGCCTTATCTGATGCTTCGATATATATATACACCCCAAGCCATTGTGGTCTGATACATGAAAACTGACAAAACGTACAAACAGCATGGAGCCGTACCGGCAACACGGTAACAACCCGCCCGGCCTACATCTACGTCCCGCCCGGCCGGTACCGCATCAAGAAGCCGATCCAGATGCTCGTGACGACCTACCTCGTCGGCGACGCCCTCAACCCGCCCGTGCTCATCGCCGATCCGGCGCTCGGCGAGCAACCCGTGATCAACGGCTACGACTCCCACCAGGGCGACGGGTCCGCGACGAAGAATTTCTACATGGCGGTGCGGAACTTGGTGATTGACACCACCGAGATCGGCACCGGCGTCGCGGCCGTTGGAATGGACTGGAGCGTGTCGCAGGGGTGCTCGTTGACGAATGTCAAAGTGCGCATGCCGAATTTCTCGAGCCATATTGGCGTCACAATGGCGCAGGGCGGTTCTGGGATCTTGATTAGCGATTGTGTAAGTCTTATTTTCTCCTGTCTCTGTCTCTTATTCCCTTCGCTGTCAATGGCCTTGTCCTCGACTTGACATGTGTTGGACGCCCTCGAGCTTATGCAAAAGACTGACAATACGCCCCAGCAATTCGAAGGCGGCGCCATCGGCATCAAAGTCAACGGCCAGCAGTACCAATTCAAGAACCTCTCCTTCAACGGATGTAACGTCGGCATCTCCGTCGACCACGTCTGGGTCGCCGTCGTCCAGGGCGCCACCTTTGCCAACTGCAACTATGGCATCGACATGGGCCGCAACACGGCGGGCATGGTCTCTGTCGTCGATTCCAGGGTGGAATCCTCCTGCAACGCCGGCGTCAACAACCTCGTGACGGGCTACGGTCAGAATTCTCTGGTCCTCGACAACTTCCAGGTCGGCGGCGGGAGCACCGCGGCCGTCAAGTCTGCGAGCGACGGATCGACGCTGCGCAAGGACTCTGTGGCGGCCGGGCAGACGTGGGTCATGGGGTACGTCAACTCGAATAACCTGCAAAAGGGAACCGTGTACCCCATCGACCGGCCCGCCGCGCTGGTTTCCGGAGACCGGTACTACGGCGCCGCTGCCGCAGTATGAGAAGTATGCGCTGGATCAGTTCGAGTTTGAAGGGTGATGCGCAGTACCCCGTACGGCGACAACAGCCACAATGACGGGCCGAGCATCAACGCCATCTTGCAAAAGTACAAGGGGTGCAAGATCATCTTTGTGCCGCAGGGCATCTACCGCACCGAGGAGACGATCTACGTGCCCCCCGGAACCCGGCTGGTCGGTGAGACGCTCAGCATCATCAACGGTAGGCCATGCCTGAACCACTAGAGTCCCTTGAAACCGGTTACTGACTTGAGAATAGGCATCGGATCAAAGTTTTGGAACCCGGACGACCCTCAGCCCATCCTCAAGGTCGGCAACCCCGGCGAGACGGGCGTCGCCCAAATCACCGACATCACGGTCGAGGTAGCCGACGTCCTCCAGGGCGCGACCCTAGTCCAGATTAACATGGCCGGCGCGCGGCCCGGCGACGTCGGCATCTGGAGCAGTGTCTTCCGCGTCGGCGGCACGAAGCACTCGCTCACCAACACAAACTGCGGCGGCGCGGACCCGGGCGCGTGCAAGGCCGCCTTTGCGCTCATGCACGTCACCTCCACGGCGAGCGCGTATCTAGAGAACGTGTGGGGCTGGGTGGCGGACCACTCGCTCGACGGCGGCGCCGCGCAGAACATTGCCGTCGGCAGGGGCGCGCTCATTGAGAGCACCAAGCCCACGTGGCTGGTGGGAACGAGCTTCGAGCACTGCGTCTTGTATCAGTATAACCTCCACAACGCGCAGAATGTGTATATCAGCTTGGAGCAGACGGAGTCTGCATATTGGCAGGGTGAGGGGACTCCTCAAAGAGCGCCCAGCCCGTGGTCGTAAGTCAACCCTTGGTCCAAAATTTGTCGATACTCTGGATTGCTAACCCCTTTCCAACACAGCGTAAAATCAGCTTTCGGCGACCCGGATTTCAGCAACTGCGCGGCTCAGGGACAGGGCAACAACGACCGGACGACCGGTGCTACCGATCGTGGGGCCACTACATGACGGGCAGCTCCAAAGTGGTGATCCACGGTTCCGCGCTGTGGGTGTTCTTCAACAAGATGAACGACAACCAGTGGCAGAACGCGCAGTGCGAGAACACGGGCGGCAACTGCATGACCAACCAGGCTTACGCTGACGGCGCCAAGTCGACGTACTGGTTCGGCCTGAGCACCAAGAGCACCACCGCGCTGCTGTACGACAAGACTGGGGGCGTCATCTGGGAGGTGTTTGCGAGCGATAACACTGGTGGATGGGGAGGCGTCCTTGCCGCGTATCTTCGGGATACGGCAGCTTGAAAGTCTAGGGAAGGCTGAGTGACGTCTTGTGGTATAATTGAGACTTCGTGTATATATTGGAGGGAGGATGTAGATTTGGAGTTCAAAATCCAGGGAAAGATGCCCAGCGACAAAAGTTTCTTGCGTACGTGGGAAATCAACTGCGGCTAAAGTGGATGTAGGAAAGGACTATGATGAGTGTCAACAAATGATGGCCACAACATATCCAACGTCCATCGACTTGCCGTTTAGATATTGGGTGCAATATATGCAACCGCAGGTCAGACGACTTCATAGAGCAGGTTTTTGCTGGGCGTACATCGTCTGCTACAGCTCGAGATCATTTATCAAGCAGACAAGAGCTGACAGGAGTGCGGCTTGACAGTGCAAACGTCGTCAACATGTTACTTGTCTCTCCACACCAACCGTCTTGTTCATCCAAGTGGACTTCACAGTGCTATCCGATCAAACTGGTGGACTCGGCAACCGTTGCGAACATGGCAGGACAACATACACGTTGTGGAGAAAGATGTTGGACAAGTCAACGGGATGTTGAGGATGATTCGCCCCGGCCTTGTCACCTGTAGTAAGTTCGGCCGCCAGCGTGGCTTTGACTTGAACATTTCTGGCAAATGTGGTTTAGCCAACGGATCTGCATCGGGAGGTAATACGGACTCTTCTTCCTGAATTAACCTAACCTAACCTAACTAACCTAACCCTAACCTAACCTAACCCTAATAACCTAACCCTAACCGCAAACCACTAACCTACCTATCCGGTATGGAAAAACAATTTTCCGGTCTCCCCGTTGAGCGGGGATTTTCCGTCGGACGGACTGAGAAGTTAATCCGATATACCGAGAATGGCATTCCGATCGTACGAGGGACGCGAGTCCTGCATATGAACGCGAACCAACAAAGCCAATGGGAGGATCGAAATACGCGCCGAACAACATTGCTGCCTAACAAAGAATGGAAGAGGTCTTTCCCCTCTTCCCATTCTGATGAAGCATAAGTAGGCGCATCTCGTCCGCACTCAGCTCTGCCCTGATGAGCCACAACACAGGCGAAACGTGATCAGTCTTCCTTGCGAACTGCGCGTCGGCACACTTGTGTTTTCTCATTTTTCTGCAACTCAACGCTGCCCTCATTGATACAACTAACCCTAACCCTAACCCTAAATAATAAAGAAGCCGTAGTTCTAGTTCGTATATAAAATATTCTATTATAAATATACTTAAAATTAGTAATGCCGCACTTAAGTTTCCTAAACTACCTACTTACTATATAATTATAATACTTCCTTTTATTCTCTTTATCCTTTAAAAATAGATTAAGTTAAATACTATTAAATAAGACGTATTACTACGGTTACTATTTGTTACGACCCAACACGCATGACAAGGCCAGGGCCTGCCCCACAGGACCTACGGCGGCTACCACACCATATATGCGGGAACACGAACTCAGGGCGACTCCTCTCGGGACGGAAGAACTATGGGACAAGTCACGTGACGATAAGAGATAAGGAACTCCGTACGTTCGAGATACGGGGTCCGTCCTTTCACGATACGGAACCCGTATGTTCAGAACACGGGAACCGTTGGGTAAACATACGGACAAAGAATATGTTCAGGAACGAGACTTGTATATAGTGTGGACTTGGGCCGGGCACAGGACAGACTTCCATAGCTTCTTCAGCAATCAACTTGTCAGATCTTACGATCGCTTTCAGCTATCTTCACTGAGAACCTTCTGACAAGACTACGATTGATCACCGAAGCCTTACCCACCTTACGATTTACAGATAGCTTCAGGAAGCTATCACGATTCTGACACTGTTTACTTAGTTATCGCAGCCTCAACTTCTGCTAACATACTCACTACGACTAGCTGGCCGTAACACTTTGATTGCTCCTGTTCAGTAAGTTCACTCTACGAAAAACTAACTAAACAGTACGAACGATGTCGTCCCGCGCCTCAGCCAAATCTCCTACCCCGGGCTCTTCAGCCTCTTCCAAACAACCTGTTCGAAGCCTGGCCGAGAAATGGAGACAGCTCCTATGAACGTCGACTCCGACGATGGTCACCCTCAAAGAGACCTACGATCGACTCCGCGAGAGAGTCCAGAAAGGAGACGCAGACATCGCCAAGGTACAGACCATGTACAACGAAACCGCGAATGAGCTCCAAAACCTCAAGATCATGATCCAGCAGTTCGGGAATGGCCCTCAGCGCATTCAGGACCTGGAGAACGAAGTCATCCGACTCAGAGAACAAGCAAGTACCAATGTTCAGGCGCTTCAGGAGAGGTCAACACTCTCCGAGCCGCTGCCAACATCATTGGTACCCCCATCCAGGGAGGACGACAGAAACTCAAACTCAGCGCACCCATCACCTATGACGGCACCCCAGGTACTCTCAGGGATTTCTGATTCAAGTCAAAACTATCAGAACTTCCATCACGGAGACTTCACCAGCGAAACCGAGAAAGTTGTGCACGCCGCCAGCTTCCTCAGGGACGAGCCCTCAAGTGGTTTGAACCTATCCAGGAAGAATATCTCAGCAAAGAAACTCTTGACGAGTGCTCTACTGAAGTACGCGACATCTACAGTAACTTCAATGGATTCGAAGAAGCTCTCAGGTCCCTATTCCAGGACCTGACGAGAAACGACAAGCTGAACGCGACCTAGCGCAGCTACGACAAACCAAATCGGCAAAGGAATATTCCGCCGAATTCAGACGTCTCAGTGCCCAACTGGACCTCACTGACGACACCAAAATGTTCATGTTCTACCAGGACTGAAGGACGAAGTCAAGGACGAGCTGGTCAAGCTCGACAGACCAGAAGACTTCCTTCAGTACGGAGAACTCGCCATCAGAATTGACAACCGACTCTATGAACGCAAGAAGGAAAGGAAGGAACGACCTAACACCGGACGCAAGTACCAATGGCAACCTCAACGCAGTTTCCAGGCGAACCAGCGACCTCGCAACAACTGGAACAACAACCGACAAAGCACTGCCTACGGACAACATGACGGTCCATGGATCTCAGTGTCGCCAGAGAAGACAACCGCCCCAGGAAGGACTTCAAATGCTACAACTGCGACAAGCCAGGACACATGGCTAGAGACTGCCGACAACCCAAACGCATCAACACCAACCCGTTCCAGAAAAACGAGCCAATATCGCGAGCAAGAAATTCCCCACGCACAACTCTCATGGACGGCTTGCTACGACGACAACTGCCTTATTCACCAAGACAGTAAGGAACAAACCGGATGGTACCTAAAAACCAAGAACAACGAACGACCCGGATACGACACCACCCCACCACCTGTCAAGACCCTAGCGGTGGCAACAAAGAAGAAGAGATACCCATCTACCGACCTCTCACCCTCGAGGATAACAACATCAGATGTGTCGCCATACTCTCTCAAATCTGCCAGAATATGAAGAGAAGGCCAAGACAGACCCCATCATGAAGGATACCCTTCATCTCCTTGAAGAAAGAATCATGCAAAGACTTCAGGCAAGTACAAGAGCAACTCCTCAAATTCGAAGAAAGAGGCCCCGACACAGAAGAAATCATGGGTAATCTCGTCCACATGGCACGACGAAACAACAAGAAACAATCCCTTAGGAAGAAGGGACCCCCATCGGACGACATCCCGACCAAATCCATCTGTGATGCGACGAGACGACGGAAACAAAAATTCATTCGCAAGGTCAAAGAACAACTCAAGAACCTAGAACGCGAAGACAAAATCAAGTAATCAAGAGGCCCAATCTTGACTTCGAAATCAAGAATGGAAAGGTAGACTTTCGACTCAAGAAGGACGAACTTGAGATCGGCTCCAGCAGCCACACCTTCGACGAAGAATCACCCTATGATTCGGACGAACCTCGCGACGTCGCTCGACGACGTGCTCAGACGGAGATCGACCATGGATTCTATCCTAGTGTGGACGACACCAGCTCTGATGAGGAACCCGAAGAACCACGGTGTAAGAACATTGATCCGTACGAAGACGACCAGACAGTACAGTTCCACGGAACTAGTCAACCTAAGGAAGTACCTATGACACCACTAGTCAAGGAGATGGCTCCTTGCTCAACACCAAGGACGCATTCCACGAAGAATTATTTTGGGCAGAATGCCTCGACGATAAGTGTCTCTGGCATCTCTCACCCAAGAAAGAAAGTCGCTTCTACCCCCGAAGACGCGACGACCGACCTATCAAGGACGTCTACGTCGACGACCAACTACCGAACTGGACGCTCACATACTTCAATGGACTCGACAAGGCAACATTCAGACCAGACCCATGCTTTCTATGCGATGCCAGAACAGCAACGACATGGAATGGGACGAATGTAGACACGACCATTGTCAGATCCACTACGTTCCCAAATCCCAAGCCTGGAGGAACGGAGAGAACAAATTGAACAAGCACGACTGAGAAACAGACTGTCAAAAAACTAGGAAGGCCAATCGCAAAGGAACGACGAAAGGCGAAAATCGAAGACAAGTTCCTATGTGCAACCAGACAGTGCAACGACGCACACCTATGGGTCAAACTCGAAATACACGGACACAGACTGCGCGCTATAATCGACAGCGGCGCACAAGGAAGTTTCATATCACCAAGAGTAATGAACAAACTCGACCTACCATGGGTATGGAAGGACAATCCATACAAACTACAAACGGTAGAAGGAGAAAGAGTTGACTATGATGACGGATATGTCAATCGAGACCGTACACCTTTCGACATATATCAACGATCAACAAGAACAACTACAGTACGACATCACGGAGATTGGAGACATCGACGTCATCCTAGGAATCTCGTGGTTACGAAAACACAACCCACGGATAGATTGGACCACTGGCCAGGTCCTATGGGAAAATCCAGTCACTGAACGACCTAAGAAAAAGGGTTCAAACGGATTTCAAGCAACACCTGAAGAACAAGAACAAACACGATACATAGCCTTCATCAGGACGATAGAAGACGACAGGATGTTCGCACCCGGTACCGACGATCGAGGATCGCAACGACTCCAGACTATACCGAGGTACCGGATATACACGAAACTATTCATGGAACCTGAAGAAACAGGGTTACCAGAACACAGCAGCTGGGATATGGAAATCGAACTCAAAGAAGGAACGCAACCCGGTTCTATCAATATACCCTATGAATCAAGAAGAACAAGACTATCTCGACGAGTACATCGACGAGAGCTCGAAAAGGGACATATTCGACCTTCGAAATCCCCAGGATTCCCCTTATTCTTCGTACCAAAGAAAGGAGGAAAATCGAGACCAGTTATCGACTACAGGAAACTCAACGAAATCACGAAGAAGAATTGCTATCCTTTACCCCTCATCACTGAGCTCAGAGACCTACTTCACGGAGCCAACTGGTTCTGCGATAGATCTCGGAAGCATTCAACCAGATTCGAATCAAGGAAGGAGACGAGTGGAAGACGGCATTTCGGACTCGCAGAGGACTCTTCAGTACCTCGTCATGCCCTTCGGACTTACCAATGCTCCGGCAACCTTTCAAACGATGGTCAACCACGTACTCCGGGAGTTCGTTGACATCTTTGTTGTTGTCTACATTGATGATGTTCTCATCTTCTCTCCCGACCTCAGAAACACACAAGAGCATGTCCACATGGTATTTCAGAAACTCAGGATGCCAAACTGTACGCCGAACCCTCCAAGTGCGAGTTTCACGTACAGAAGGTAGACTTCCTCGGATACACCATCACGCCAGGACAAATCCACATGCAAGCATCAAAGGTGGAAGCAGTCAGGGACTGCCTACACCGCAGAACGTCAAGGACGTACAAGATTTCTTAGGATTCGTCAACTTCTATCGACGATTTCTCAGGACTATGCCAACATCGTCAGACCTCTCAACAACTTGACACGAAAGGATGCCCCATTCATTTGGGATCCCAAGTGCGAAGAAGCATTCACCAAGGTCAAAAATATGGTCGTCTCGGAACCAGTTACCAGAATTCCAGACCCCCGGAAGCCCTTTGAAGTCGAGACTGACGCCTCAGACTTCGCCATGGGAGCGGTCTTGGGACAACGAGACGAACAAGGAAAGCTTCACCCATGTTGTTTCTACTCCAAAGCATTTCACGGAGCAGAATTGAATTGGCAAATCCGACAAAGAACTGATGGCCATCATCGAAGCATTTCGAGAATGGAGACCACAGTTATCCGGAACCAAGCATGAAGTCACAGTCTACACAGACCACAAGAATCTCGCGAACTTCGACAAACAAGAACCTGAACAAACGACAAGTCAGATGGAGCGAGTTCCTATCTGAATACAACTTCGAATCATTTATCGGAAGGTTCAGAAAACAGCAGAGCAGACGCTCTCAGCAGAAGACCCGACCACGAAGTCACGGTCCCCGAGGAGACACAGGTTATCCTCAAACAAGAAGAAGACGGTAGCCTTGTACCAACTACGAAGCTTCTTATGATAGCCAGAAGGATCAGTACCAGCCCGACTGGAAGGATGACCCTGAGCTCATCATGGAAATTCACAGTGCACCTGCACACGGTCGCAAGGAGTTACCAAAACGTGGAAACGGATTCGCCAGCACTACGACAAATCCGCCACACGCGCAGAAATTGCGGAAGCAATGGGACTGTGCGACCTGCAAGAAAAAGCAAGAACAGCCCGCACAAGCCCTATGGCGAGCTGCAACCATTGCAACCACCAACGGAAGCATGGCAATCAATCTCATGGGACTTTATCGTCAAACTACCAAAGTCAAAGAACCACTCACGAACGTATGGTACGACAGCATCTTGGTTATAGTCGATCGACTCACCAAGTTCGCCACTTTATACCTTACAAAGAGGCCAGCAGCGCAGAGGTTAGCGTACACGTTCCTCAAAATCGTTGTTGCCAACCACGGTACGCCGAAGAAATTATCTCTGACAGAGGCTCTCTGTTTACTTCAAAGTTTTGGAGATCCTGATCTCGCAACTTGGTACAGATCACAAACTGTCAACCTCTTTCCACCCGCAGACCGATGGACAGACAGAAAGAATCAACCAGATTCTCGAGACATACCTCCGTTGTTATGTGAACTACGATCAGAACAACTGGGTAACATTGTTACCAATGGCCCAATTCGCATACAACAGTGCAGTTGGCGAAAGCACAAGAGAATCCCCGTTCTACTTGAACTACGGATATCAGCCAACAGTGTACGGAGAAGCACGACAAGGACCACAAGCTGTTAAAGCAGTGGCCAGCGTGGCAAAACTCAAAGAAATCCAGAAGAGCATCTTTGGATCTCGAGCTTGTACGTCAACGCATGAAGAAAAACGCGAATAGATCAAGGATTGGAGGACCAACCTTGGAAGAGGAATGATAGCGCCTACCTCCTTCGCCGCAACATCAAAACAAAACGACCAAGCGACAAACTGGACTACAAAAGCTCGGACCTTTCGAAATCATTCAGAAAGTCTCAAACGTCAACTACAAGTTGAGACTACCAGACACGATGAAGTGTCATCCAGTCTTTCATTTCACTTCTCGAACCAGCACCTAAGGGCTCACACAGAAGATTGCATCATCGTGGAACCCAATGAACCAGAATACGAAGTCGAAAAATCATCGACCATAGAGTCAGGAACGAAACAAAGAATTCTTAATCAAATGGAAAAACTACGGACACGAGGAAAACACATGGGAACCCGTCACGAACCTCCAGAACTCTCGACAGCTTCTCGAGGATTGCCAGAAGACGACACCAACGGCCCCAGGGACGCGAACTCGTCGCCAATCCCGAAAGAAGGCCAGTCGGCATCATTAGAAACGCCAGCAGCCTGGAGATCGCTCACGACCCACCGCTCGTGAGCATCCAGCGCAGGAAGAACACCATCCTCTTCTTCCAACTCCTGCATACCACGAGCAAAAGTTTCCACATGCCTCTCCTTCACTTTCTTTCGGATCGCCCGGATACGAGCAAGACGGCCTGCCTCAGCAACCTCTGACTGTATCCGAGCCAGTTTTCATGAAGATCGAGCAAGGCGTCGCTAGCCTGCTCCTCCTTCTCTTCCATTCTTGACGCTGGTCACTCAGCCGTTGCACTACGAAATAGTCAGCCTAAGAAACCGGAACAACGGCGGAAGCACGAACGACTCGATGCCACAACGAGACCATCGCAAGAACGCTTCAGGTTTTGCAGCCTTGGCACGTTTTGGCGCCATCAGCCATCCGACATGGACGTTTGGCGCGAAAACACCGAGTGCAGGGCATAACGTCGCTAGAACCAAAACGATCAAACACGTCGTCACAAAGCCGACCGAAGTTTCGAGATAGTGTTTTTCAAGAACGTTTTCAACACGACCTGACATCGTGTCAGCACATTGCGCTAGAAAGGCAAGCTTGATGATTCCCCAACCTGGGAACAAGGGACCTACTTATAGGCCTAGAGGACTAGACCTTTGAGAGGAGGAGCTGATGTTACGACCCAACACGCATGACAAGGCCAGGGCCTGCCCCACAGGACCTACGGCGGCTACCACACCATATATGCGGGAACACGAACTCAGGGCGACTCCTCTCGGGACGGAAGAACTATGGGACAAGTCACGTGACGATAAGAGATAAGGAACTCCGTACGTTCGAGATACGGGGTCCGTCCTTTCACGATACGGAACCCGTATGTTCAGAACACGGGAACCGTTGGGTAAACATACGGACAAAGAATATGTTCAGGAACGAGACTTGTATATAGTGTGGACTTGAGCCGGGCACAGGACAGACTTCCATAACTTCTTCAGCAATCAACAGTATCAGATCTTACGATCGCTTTCAGCTATCTTCACTGAGAACCCCTTCTGACAAGACTACGATTGATCACCGAAGCCTTACCCACCTTACGATTTACAGACATAGCTTCAGGGAAGCTATCCACGACTACGACACTGTTTACTTAGTTATCGCAGCCTCAACTTCTGCTAACATACTCACTACGACTAGCTGGCCGTAACACTATTAAACTTATAAATTAAGATAGCAACCTAATTAGCTATAATATACTAATCTATACTCATATATACCGTTATTTAATAACTATTAAATAACTAGCTAAAAAGCAAACTAGCTTTAGAGCAACCGTACTTACTATTAGATATATTACTATTAATATTAATCGACTCGTAGTTAATTTTTTAATAAGCTTACTTATTTTTAACTTACCCCGATACGTATAGCGCCTAGACCGCTAATCGTCGCTAGACTTTAATCCTAATCGTTATAACCCCTATATCTTACTAATACCGAATTTTTTCCTATATAAAATTAATTATCGGTAGGCTATCGACGTAAATAATAGATATTAGGGGCTTATTTATTAACTATTCTTATATAGTTTTAATAAAGCCCCCGGGGGCTTTTTTAAACTTATTATTAACTATCCCTCCCGTTCCTCCCCCTACCCTCCTTTTTTCCTCCCTCTTAGCTCTCTTTATACTCTATTTATCTAACCGCCCTTTTTTTATAACCTAGCCTAGCCTTAACCCCACCCGGCCAATACCATAAGAGCGCGCTACTCAAACATAAACTATCCACCAAACACTTAGTATCCGTTCCTTATAACACAATGCCTCTCCCACCTAGAACCTTTCTTACCACCCTCATAGCTACCGCAATCGCTACTGGGGACCTCAATCCCGACGCGCAACACGCCTATTCCCCGACACAAGGAGGCCAGGATACATGTAGTCCTAACGGGTCCGAGGAGTAGTTAAACACGGGCATTAGTAGTGGCAGCTAGGAGCCGCCTTATCTCAACATAAACAAGCTCGTCCATATTCCCCTAAAGGATTACTACCAAAGCGTAGGCAAACCCTACCAAAAGTATAATAAATACTTCCAATCCGCCAGTAAGAAGTACAACATTAACCCCGCCATCTTAGCCTTCCTCGCCATACAAGAGTCGACCTGCAACGCAGACGAGGGAGGTCCTACTCCTGGTCTCATGCAATGCGACTCCGGGAACTGCCAGAACGGCAAGTCCAGTTGCCAGTACCCTCTGCAGGACCAAGTCGACTGCGGAGCTTGGGTTCTGCGGTCCGGCCTTGATCGCGCTAACGGCAACGCCGTCCGCGCCCTCGGCGCTTACAACGGCTGGTTTACCGCAGCGGACCAGTGGGGCTATAACGGCGGCAAGGGCCTGACGCTATCCTACCCCTGCTCTGACGAGGGCAAAAGCAATGGTGTGCCTCAGAATCTGGATTATCTACACCAGACGCTCAACGGCTGGTTCCAAGGTCTCGATATCTATGGCAAAGACAGCCATCTCGGGGGGAAGTACAACTGCCAGCAGAATTGCAATGATGGCCTTTGTTGAAAGAATATTCATCTTGAGGTGTAAAGGATTTCATGCTTCGTAGGCTACATGCTTTTTGAAGTTGATAAGATGAGAGAATGCGGCAAGGAAAGCAAGCGGCGAAATAAGCTGTGGGAGACGTCGCGCTCTATGGGAATCTTTATTCATGTGCATACCTAGCAAAAGATCATGTCATCTATTGGTTATACTTAACTTAGGTGCTATTCCTCGACTACTGAGTAATTAACCATGTGCCTGGCTCTGGCATAGAGATATGCTGATTATCTTGACTGTGTCTTGGCTCGCTAAGCTTTGTGTACCTTGGGTCTCCTATTCTGGGACCATTGCCCGTTGCGGTTTGGGGGATTATGGATCTACAATGTCGCTGGATAGCTACTTAGCATCCGATCTTACTCTTCTCCACGATTCACGCACTATAGATATTGAAGGCTGGCGCTAGGTCGGTTGGTCCTTGGTACTTGCAAACTCTGTTCAAGTATGAGTCCACGCAATTAAATATCCTGACAGTTCTTACTCCAATGGCAACTGTCACATTGACAGGATTATCATACGTGTGCGCATCAACAAGCTGGGGCCGTTTTGGTGGAATGTTGTCTTCAGCCAATTCGATGGGAAACTTTTGTTGAGATAGAATCGATTCGGCTGTTTCACCAATTTCAATTACCGACATTGTCAAATCTAGCCATCTTGAGATAAGGTCTGATCTTCATCACCATCTTCGTTACTAGTAGTGTCGTCTAGGGTACTTCGAGGTACCATGACCTCGTACATCACAGAAGTTCCATAGGTCACTTGATCTTTAAGCAAGAATAATGAATGCAGCAGATCCTTTCGAAGCGACATGACGGATGGAGCATTATACTTATACGTCTAACTTCGTCATACAGTCGGTGTTAAGATGGTTATTGGTCGATGTATCTGGAGTTTGTTGATACGTCGCCTCGTTGACCCTGACCACTTCCAACCTGCTGGGAGGTGGGCTTGGGTGAGCGCGGAGACTTTTTGTGCAAGGAACCGGGATACGGGAACAGAGTCGCTATGTATGAAGAATGTTGTGATCAAAAGCCAGCCCTGATAGCTTCATACACGCAGAATAACTCATACAATACGTGGTACGGTATCATCAAATGTTAAATTTAGATAATTGCATTGGACTTCGGAGACGCAGTCCTCTCGCTTACCTTAGTGCACTCCACGAAAGTATAGACAATGTAGACAACCTTTTCACTGCTGAATGGCTTAGCAGGGGCGCAATAAACGAGGTATCCATAGATGCATGTCATCTTGTGTGGCAAGTGGTAAACCTCACACTTTTCCTCTTCCTAGTTAGATGTGTACGATGTACTTCGGAAGCTTCTGAAGACAACAAATACTAGATAAACTGACATGGTCAGAAAGAGTATTATCATCGAAAGTGGTGGCTTGATAGCGCATCCAGAACCACATTAGCTTAGAAAACGCTGTTCGCCAGCTTCTCCAGCTTTCCTACGATCGTGGCAAAACAGTCTACCACCCTCACATCGCCCATCTTCCCAGCCAAGCAGCCAACAACAATATTTTGGAATGTTTCCCCAGCGAAGAAAGCCAACCTTTGTTCAGCATGTTTCAGGAGTCTCGTCTGGGCCGTTGTTTTGGGCTTGTCCTCCATCTCTGGCGCTACCAAAGCTCCCTTATCAATCTGATCAGCGCGAGACCAAAGCCCAATCTCGAGTAAGACGACACCAAGAGCTAGGCACATAGCCGATTAGCACTCATCAGTACCCCGGCCAATCCAACTTACCATAGATATCATGAATCTTTCCGAACCGTTTCGTAGGCTGACCCCATCTCTCTGGATGCCGGTAAATGTTTCGTTTCAATTCTGATTCGCCAAACTGGTCGGAAAAGTCGGAGTCTTGCCGTGAGTATTCAAACCCAATCAGTCTTGCGCCCTCGAGTATTGCGGACATCCCAGCGTGTTCAGGAAATAGTAGAATATTCTCCGAGCGGATAGACTTGTGGACCCAAGAGTACGTGTGAAGCCTCTGTACGCAGGCTGCCAACCTGTGTGCTAGGCGCAATCTGGCGGAGAGGGATGGCCGCCCTGCTTTAGATCGTTCATCGAGAAGGTTTGAAACAGTAAGGGGCGGTGCCGATGGATTAGTAGGCTTTGGGAGCTTGAATAAGAGACCGAACCTCCGACCTGGCGTATCTTCAAAGTAATGCGTACATGGCAGGACTGCCAACGCTGGGTCGCTCGACGGTGCATCATGCAGTAGGGCGGCCAATTGAATTACGCGCTCTCGAATAACGACCGCACTCACAGCACTGCCCGAGTCTGGTGTGTAACCCTTCGACTCGATCAGATAGCACCCATCCGAGCCTTTGAGGTTGCCGAGCTCAAAGTTGGGCAATTTGGACATGATGGACAAGTCGTTCAAGAGTGCTTCTTTGGCGTATGATCCAGGGGAGATGTCTGCGGGTGGCGTGATGACTAGCTTCCGCAGTTCAATTCCTCGCAAAAGCCCTACGGATCCCGCATCGACATCTTTTTCCAGTTTCTGAAGTCTTTCCAATGTCTCAAAGAAAGTCGATGGCCACCACGCTGCCTCTAGTAAGTTCTGTATTCTTTCGGTCCAAGCCTCGAACTCAGAAACAAGTTTCTCGGTGCTGCTTTTGTCGAAGGCTACCCAGAGCATTTTCTTTGCCCATCCCACAGATTTTTGCTGGGCAATAGCCGACTCCTTTTTTGACGATGAAAGACTCTTGACGCGATCCTCTTCCGACATGGATGCCAAGTCGCCAAGTTCGAGGCTCTCAGCTCGGTCCTGCACTTTGTACTGTCCTCTCACCGCAGCATATTCCATCAAGAGTCCATAGAGCTCTCTTAACAGGCCAAGGATATCATCGCAAACCGTCTTGGGCAGGTGCTCGATCAAGCAACCGGGCATGGCCGGCGCGAACTTGCTGTCTTCAAAGAGAACTCGTTCCATAGAGCCTAGGCGGGTTCGCTGAATCGAAAACCGCAGCCGGAGGCGGTCGGCATCCTTCCCGAAGTTGCTATAGTTGGTCAGGGTATTGTCTATCGTGGAACATATAGGTTTGATCAGTGCGACAGCGCCGAGCACTAGTCCAGCGGCCTCCATGATGCGGGGAACCGATTTTCGTGCGGGCTAGATAAGATGATTAGAATGCCGAGAGGAAACAATTGAGATGTTAAATAAGCCGTCGGGAGGGTAGCTCATTCAGAGACCCTAGCCCATTTCGCGACACTTCAGTGGCTCAGCTGCGACGCTATTCCTACTCTGTCAAGATTTTCCTGCATGTTAGGCTGCAACGCGTCAGGTGGTGCAAGCCATTCTAGATTGGGGTGCGGCTGAACACGAAGTGTATCAAGTCAGACCATCGGAATGCGCGGGAATGGTGCACTTGAACAGATAGACTACCTATAAAAGTCACGTCCTGTCCCCCCATTTCTAGGCCTGGTGATAACCGTACAACTGAGTTCACCTCTTATTACGGATAACAAAGTCGAACCGAGATGAGTTTGATATGGGACGTCCGCACTGTTCTTGCCTCTGAGGCACTTTCGACAGTCAACCAATCCGATCCCGAATCACCGACGACAACCAGAACAACGGCCGAGCTGGAGCCGATCGATGTGTGGAATTTCTTGGTCAGTCTAAGTGAAGATGAGACAATCAAAAACTCAGATTCGCCGGACGACTACGTCAAACTCACACACTTCAAAGATGCCCATTTTGATCACAGTTGGGATGCCCGCCCAGTTCATCTCGGGGATGGCGCGTCCTATTCTGTTGATAAAGTCACGCTAAGCATCAAAAGAGATGACGGAAATCCCATCATTGTTGCGGTTAAGAAGATCAACTTGTTCGGCAACTCTGAATCCCGAAGTGATTGGAGTGCCGCTACGAGACATCGCTCTGTCGCGACGGTGTTGAAGGAGCTCCGCATTCTCTCGATTCCATCCATCGAGGAGCATTTGAATATTGTCTCTTTATTGGGATTTAGATCTGAGTATACGTCGATATCCGCTCAGAACAGCACGAATGTCTCCTTGGTCATGGAATATGGCTCACACGGAACTCTCAGGGACTTCTGCAAAAGCCACTCAGGTGATGAAAACTTCGATCTAGTGGCTCAGGCTCGATTCATGTATGACATTGCCAGCGGGCTAGCTAAGTTGCACAGTTGCGGCATTGCCCATGGAGATATCAAGTTGGAGAACACCCTTGTGTTTGACGGGAACAAAGGGCAGCTGATAGCAAAGCTTTCTGACTTTGGGCATTCGATTCTCGATCTCTACGATTCTGAAGCACCGCAGGGAGTTTATCTTGGGACACCGCTTATGAATGCTCCTGAGGTGAGAACTAGACGTCATGCTCTCCATCATGCACAGGACTTCTTCAAATGCGACATTTTCTCGTTCGGCTTGTTGATATGGGAGATTCTGTTAGATGGAAAACATTACTTCACTACATTGCAAAGCGCTGAGCATAAAGACGAAAGCACCGATATGATGGAATATCTATGCAACCTCTCAAAAGACGAACTTCTTCTCCAGAGTCTGAAATACTTGCAAGGGTTGTCCGAGAAGAATGAGGCTCCCCTGATTCAATTGATCATCCGCACTTTGCAGGCTTCGCTGAGGGATGATCCCGAGCGAAGACGTGGTATCGAGGTCATTCTGGCCGGGTTTAGACAGCACAAAGACTTGACTAGGGATGATTGGATGTAGGCACCAGATATTATTTAGCCGAAGCGTATTATTACTGACAACGGCGTTAGGAGGCCAGGTACAAGCTCTTTCACACTCAGTTCACTACCAGATCAGGCCCCTGGTTCGAGTTCAGGAAAGGCTTTGACGACCAGATCGGTAAGTTATGAATCTAAAATAGTTTATGAGTCTTTCTGAAGTATGCTGACCGACAAGGCTATTCCCCGAATGCCACGTATCATTCAAATCGACTTTATAGACCAACTCCTCCGCATCTCAGGGG